GAAGAATACACCTTCACAGTCATTTGTCAAGTAATTTCAGATACGGTACCCTCAGAACCAGATTTCGATCTTTCAGCACGCAAGTTCAAATCAATCTTTGCTACCACTTTGTGCTGAGCACCTGATTCTTGTGCTAAGCTACGTGGCAGCTGGTAGGTACCAACTTCGTATGTGTTGATATAATCATCACGTTTACAACACCATGTTGTAACGATCTCTTAATCTTATATGATGAGTTCTGGTCGGGATGAGCAGAAAACGTTTCCTTGTTAAAACATACGAATGCCAATTGTGCTGACTCCTGCTGAAACGGTAGAAACTGGCATCTCGTATGGGATTTGATCAAGGATAAAGCCTCGAAAACCAATGTTATGTTAATATAAATGTATGTCTGATCTCATCTGAATGTCAATAAATGGATCAGCACGTGGATCCCAGATGATTACAGAGACGCGCCGCGATTTCCATAATTCAACAGGTCAAATGATGTAAGTGCTGATAACTGGCTCGAGATTTACTGGATCAGCTAGATCTGATGCGTTTCTTTAGTACCTTTTCCATATGGTCCTTAGTTTATTACCTTCAAGCATAAGCATAGTCCTTGTGACATTATCGCTTGTGCATTAAGTGGCGTCATCACAATTCCGAAAGCATCAGCTCGAAAACTTGATGCAACTAGGCCATGAATTGTTTTGTCTTCTTTGATATTTCTGTTCATCAAACAAAAGATTATAAAATAATAATTCTGCCAAAATTCAGTGTTGTATGAAAATCTCTATATTCGTATTCGTGCAATGATTTCTTAGTTTGATGTCTGTGGCTATAGATGTGCTTAGCAATTTATTTGAAATAGCCATGCTGATGAAGGTTGACTTTATAACTTTGAACGTGGTTTTACATGCATTTCGGATGGCAGTCCTCAAAAACCTTCAAAAGCCTGGTTCACACTGCCTTTGTTGAAAATGATGCCACCTTACGTTACAGCTTTTCGCTTTCCAGCCAATAAAAAAATTCACCGTCTTTTATCAGAGCAACTGCTTGCACTGTGTTGACTTTCGACGTTGCTAGCTCAAACCCCATCTGGTAAGCCTCAATTTCTTTCTCCACTTACTTTATGCGAGTGTTTGTGCCTTGTATATTCCGGAAAACATGTCTGGGTGCTTGCTAGCGTCTTTGACACGGTTCCGCCGTGAACTGGCTAAATGTTCACACAATAGCTTATTGCTACAGCGGCAGGTCCGGTTGTCTTTCAACCATGAGGTCTATCGAGTTGGCAACTGCATTGTGTTACGGAAAGCAAGCTGTGGTTGTTGAAAGATCGTCTTAAAGTACACGTTGCGCGATCGATTCCCCAGACCATGAATAATGTTGTATGATTACGCCCGCGATGATGCGATAGGATTGCGCCCGATGACGTGCTTATATATAGCACAGAGTAGCAAACTAAGGAACTAAATATTTTCACTTCCAATCTTACCTTCTAATCCTCATTTCATCTTCTCAATAGGTTATTCGCCCAAGTGACTCCGACGACGCGCCAAGCGCACCGAATACAGTTAGCTTCGATGCCGGCCACGAAAGGGTCGCAGCGTCTCCAACAGCTGTGGAGGACACGCAGATCGCTCAGCAAATGATCTACGACGTCAACGCAAGGATTCTCGCCACTCTTTTTGACATTCAAGCAAGGATGACGCAGATGAAGGCCTCGCAAGTGAAGCGAGACGAGGACGAGCGTATGCTCGGTGCCATTGAGCCTGGGATGTTCCATTTTGTTCTTGGCAACGGTCGT